GCACGCAAAAAAAAAAAAAAAATGAAGTTTCCGCGCTCGTCGCGACCTTGTCGTTTTCACAAGCAAATGTTTACGTCTACATCTCGTGTGGTTTGCGGGGAGAGAGAGAGAGAGAGAGAGGAAGGGGGCGGGAGGAAAAAAAGGGGGGGGGGGGGGCAGCATGGCAAGGCTTGGGTAAGCAGTAAATACGCCTCCGTGAATTTCGTGCTAGCCTTTAGTGGCTTCAAGATTTCCTTACGGATTCGCTAGACAGCGTCCCCTTTTCAGTAAACGGGGTTTCTCTAACATGAGGCCCCGCTTTCTCGAAACCGAGCTTCGATAAAAAGTGCCCGTTCGCTAAACCGTGTTTGAATTAACTGGCCTTCGGTCAACGGTAGCGGACCCGGAACAACGGGGCTACGATCGCACCGAGCTCGGCGCTGCTTCATATTCTGCGTTACCACCCCAACTAACATCGATATGCTGTAGGTGTGTCGACAGACTGTTCCCAGTGTTATTTTAAGTTGGGAGGTTTTACGAAATTGTTACGTGCTTCTAAAACAACAGTGACTGCTGCAACAATGGCCATCCATCGCACTACTGTTTGGAGCTCCACGTTTTCCGGGTATTTGTTTGCAAGAGCTGAACCCAGGGTGTCTTCATGTGCGCTTTGCTTAGGGTGCAGACATCTGGCCATTTTGTCCCACGTTTTTATTTTTCTTTTTTGTTCAGAAGCGCGTGAAAGAGCGTGTCCCTGCACGCGTTTGTGGCTCTGACTGTGCAATGGCAACCTTTTGTTTTCGTCGATTTCTTTGTATTTTACCTGTGAGCGCGTGCTGTCGGCATCGGGTATTACAAAGGGTGGCATCACCCTAAACAGTAGGACATTGAGGCACCCTAGCCGAACCTACTACGTTTGCTTGTCAACGTCATATAAAAGGGATGTCGCTCTAACCGCTCATTCACACTGGAAGCAGATCCGCGTTCGCAAAGTGGTTGCCAACGCGGTTTTATAAAGATCCAGTACAATTGCACGCGCACTTGATGTCATCGAGTGCGCGTGCAATTGTATTGGATCTTTATACAACCGCGTTCGCAACCGCTTTGCGAACGCGGATCCGCTTTCATGGTGTGAATGAGCGGTAACGGGTACTTGTGGTCTTGTTTCTGTTAGCGTGCGTGCTTGCGCGCGCGCGCGCGCGCGCGTGTGTGTGAAGGCCCATACGCACATTTGCGTTTGAACGCGTGTGTGTGTGTGTGTGTGTGTGTGATTGTGTGTGTGTGTGTGTGTGTGTGTGTGTGTGTGTGTGTGTGTGTGTGTGCGCGTGTGTGCGTGCGTGCGTGCGTGCGTGAGAGCGAGAGAGAGAGAGAGGTTGGGTGTTTTCCAAGAAAAATATCTCCACACTGAGACCGACACCTCTACCATCCGGTACTCTTCGTCTTTTACAGATGCCGAGAAGATTTACCGGCAAGCTGTGCAGATTTCTGTTCAATCACCTGAATAGAAGAACCTTCGGCGATCTACTCGAGTGGGTGAAGAAGAAGGAAGGCCGATTCCGCACCGTGTGGAAACACGGCAATGGCTCAAATGCTACTGTTGAGGACTACGTCGTTTTCTTGGTACTTGTCCAAAACTTGTACTTCAGAGTCATTTCAACTCCTGTTCACACATACACACGCGTATATAGGCAAACACCATGCCGCAGCCTCACAAAGACAGAAATGCATCTTTAAATACGTTTTCTGCGAAAGGGCGCTATGCATTATCGTTGCTTCAATGTATAGTACTACGCTTCTTTGTGCCGACAAATTACCGACTTGATTTCATGTTATTAGGCTCGCATCTTAGATCGTAATGACTGACAGCTGACTTGTTCTAAGGAACAGTGTATGAAAGCGCTTCTTTGAATGACGGAAGTCATTCAGAGAAAAAAGGTCACGTTGTTAAAGAAAGGCTTAAAGACTTAAAGAAAGGTCACGTTGTGCAGCAAGTGCTGCGAAAACTTAGCAATCGTTGTTGAATTTTCAGGAATGGGACAAGTTCAAGAAGCGCGGTAAGGGTGGAACTCGTGCGAGAAAGCCGTCCCGGAAACTGCAGTGCCATGACACTACGAAGAAAAAGGTGAATGGTCTTTCCCACTTCACGTGCGCTATGGTCGAAAGGCCTCCATTAAGGCAGATGAACTTCGGCTACGAACATGCCGTCTACGTCTTTTCGCATGATACCACTCACATTCGTCTAATGCAGAAGTCAAACATATCAAGAGGATACTGAACAGTGAACACGCAGGCTCAGGCATTCGCGATGTTGTAACTCCATCAGCTCGTCAGCGTCCTCAGCATTATCCCTGAACTGGGGGACTGTCATCTTGCAGGCCAACGCGCTGTTTACAAACAAGCCCGCGTTTGCCCACACCAGGTGTGGGCACTGCGCGTGCGCAGAAGCCAAACCCGGTAGAGGGGAACCGTCGGCGCATGCGCTGTGGTGACAGCGGCGTGACGTCAGAGTCACGTGTTGGTTTAGGAAACCCGATGCCAAGGAAGCGCTTAAAGAGAATACAACAGATTATGCTGCAGCGTGTTTTTGTGTTTGGCCGTTCTTGGGTTTCCAGACAATAGGGCTTTTGCTCAAGTTTTCGGCACCATCTCTTGGAAAATCAGGAAGTGTGTTCGGTGGCCTTGAAAAAAAGAAAAAGCTTTAACAAGCTTTTACGCCTGTATAATTGTTGTGACCGAAGACTGAAAAAAAAAAAAATTACGTTGTGTTGCAATTGGAACGCTGTACTGCACCCGGCTCCCCACTGTTACTGGCTGCTGATGCTGTTACGTAAGCGTCACCGAAAATGGCGGACAGCCGCGTCTGCTGCTACTACGCATGCCAACTTTACTAGATTAAGTCAATTGTGAAACTCCCGCGGAGGTTTCTCTCCCCCCCCCCCCCCCCCCCGACTCTCTCTACTTCAGTCCGCCTCCCGTAAGGCCCCTTAGCCTCCCGTCGTTTGAAGCGCCATCTAGATTGTCGTTGCAAAACTATGCATTCCATAGAGCCTCTCGTCTTAAGAGTATGGTGCCTGGAACGCGTCTCCGACTGGTGTGTTTACCACGTCCAGAAAAGTGGTCCCTCGATTTCCGCCTGATGACGTCATAGAAGCGTCATGTTAACGATGGTCGCGATCCTGGCGGTGTCACAGCAGCGGTGGTGGATGTGGCAGACGCTTGTCCTACTGCAGGTCGCTCTCCAGCTTGACAGTCCACGGAAGTTTCGGCAGTCAGAAGTTGAGACGCCGTGACGACAGCACACAAACGTCTGCTCGTGCTTTTTGCTGGAACTTCTATAGCACCAACCGCCAGGATCGCGACATCCGACAGCATGACACTCCGGCTTTTGTGACGTCATTCGTTACCACTTCGGAACCACTTTCAATGCATGGGCGGAATTGGACGCTAGACACACCAGTCGTAAGCAGTCGCAAATGTGAGAACCAGCCTTAAGAGGCTAAAGTAAAATCTGGGGGTTTCACTTGCAAAATCACCGAAGCGCGTCTATCACGCGCCAGCGGAAGACAGAGGATGAATTTCGACCGCCTGGGGATCTTGTCGTGTAACTTTGAATCCAGGCTACACGGCGTTTTCTCCGAAGAGTAAAAAGCGAGCGTGAATGATAGCTGTTTTTACTATCGAGGTTAGTGCAGCGTCTGCACGGTCAGATGTTTGATGCTGCCAGGAGTGGCGATAAGGGGGGACTGTGCACGCGTCGTTAAATCGGTTGCCTGCCAAACGGTTCTCTAAAACTCGCTAATGTCATCGCTAGTCGACGAACCGGATGCTAGAACAGGTTGTGAAGTCTACAGCGAGTGTCGTTCGACTTTCAGAACACCAGCAAAAAAAATACCGAGGGACCCGATGCGAAACAGCGCTTTCGCAGCGCCCTGCGGAAGATGAAGTTTGAAGTTGAGAGCTGTGCCGACGGTTTTCAAGTCATGAGGTTCCCAAAGAGCGACTTAGGTAAGCATGTGCGCATGAGTGCGACCGAAAGCGTTCTTCATTGGCCCAACGCTCTCCCTGTGACTGTCCACGTAGGAACTTTGTTTGTTTGTGGCGCGCAGCTCTACTAAGTACATGGTCGTGTCTTCTTCCACCATGTTTGTTTACACACCGTTCAACTTGCTGTGTAAATCACGGGGCACACAATTACAGAAATCATTATGAGGACGTGCTACACCCTCAAAACATCCGCGCGTCTTCTCTCCCACAAACCGCGTGCAAAACAGAAAAACAGAACAGGTGTTCTTCTTTTTTTTATGTCAGTTTTAAGTAAGTCACATGCAATCGGTTAGAAAAGAGCCATTTAACTGGTACTCAGGGAAAGAACAGGGGTGCGTCACGTGGACAGCGTTAAAACAAGAACATCGGTCTTGTATCGGAACTACATTTTTAGTTTTCGCGTTTCTAAATATGTTGAACTGCTGTTGCTCGCATCATTACCAAACATCATATGTCCAACTGTTAAATCATTGTGGTGAACATTGCATTCTGTGTAGCAACAACAGCAGTGGCAGCGTAAAATTTGTTGTTGGTGTGTGGGATGCGGCAGCAGAATGCTGAAACCTGGCTAATTTTCTTTTTGTGCATCTCGACAGAATACCTTCTCCAGAAGGAGCAACTCCCGCCCTCGCCAAACACCTCGGAGGGTTCGGACGACACCTTTGCCGGTTCGGACGATTCATCCCAACTGAGCCCAGGTCATGCAAGCCTGGAGCAAGGGAACTTTTCCTTTCCGTTGGACAACAAGGCGAACGTGACACCGTGCTTCGATTCTGGCCGTACAAACTACGACATGGATAGTACAAACATTACAGTCCTTCCCGGTGAAGTTGCGGACACCTGCGGATCATCTGACGATATCTTCACGAGCCTTTTGAACAGTTATCAATTGGATTTTTTGCAAAAACCTCCCACTCCTGAGCCACTCATGCAAGAGACCTTCCGTCCACTCTCCGAGCTCCACTCCCCGGAGCTGCCTCAAATTCCAGTGTTCCTCAGTCTTCCGGCATCCGACCAGATCTCCTCTGAAGCACTGCTGGAGGTTTTGTGCCTCCTTTGAACATGCAAAAATACGAATGGATATTTTTTTACTGTAAATATTTATTTTAATTCAGATGGTAGATTTTAAGAACAATAAAGGTACGCGGATTAGCGTGTCGCATCTACGAGTAATTTCATTCGAGACTTCAGATTTTACTGAGGCTCGTACACTGCCCTCTGGGAATTGTTATGAACCTCTTCATTACGATATTGACTTCTTGCGAGGTGCTGGGATTATTCACAATTCAATTCCCAGCCTTGAACAGTCAAGGTGCAGCGAAGTGGATATTGATTGCAATAATATGGGTCTGTTTTTGAAGAAAAGAAGAAACAATAAAACACGCGTGCACGTAGAGAGTGATAACCATAAACGTGATCAATATTTAGACTTTAACGTTTTTTTAAATATTTTTTTCTAAAACCGGAGGTGAAATGTTTTTATTTTATGAAGGAGAATACATTTTGTTTTATTCAAACTTTTTTATACGACAAAACAATAGGTGAACGTTGAATTTAATGTCCAAATATGATTAGTTGGAATGCATTTTTTTTTTAAATATCGCTTTTAGTCTTTTTACCTGCATACATTGTTAGTGTTTTATTGTGCTTCGTTTCAGCATAACATTGCAAAACGTATAATCTACGTCCCGGCGAGTCAATAGGCTTTTTGCCAAATTACCCAAGCGCCAAGGAGAATGCTGGAAACGTACATGCACGCGCTACAGGCTCTCGCCTCATCAGTACAAATTATTCGAATTAACCGAAACCGGGCATTGATTAACGCACGTGCAAAGTGCCATTTGGTTTAGGTTTTTGCATTAGAACAGTTACTGCGGCACGTGCAACTATACACTCCCAGCCTGCATGCTCCATGGTGCTTGTTTAGAGGGGTACTCCGACGATTTCTTAATGGTCCCCAATTTACCTGAACATTTGCTAAACACACCAACAAACATCGCTGAAATAGTATCCCATATTATAAGTCAAAATATTTTCTTTTCGCGAAGTTATTGAATTTACAATTTTGGTCCTCACCGTGTGTTTTTTTTTTTTTTTTTTTTTCAAACTTCAAGTCTACTGGCAACAACGAAAAAGTGACGACAGCGGAAGGCAGGGGGCAGGGGTGCACTCTTTGGGGGTGGCACTCAGTCGGTCGAACGACGTTTTAGCGAACGCCGACTTTTCATCGAAAAAAACTTTAGCGATAGTCGGCCGCCGCGAAGCGGCGTTTACGAGTAGGTCAAGTGGGTTAACATTTTTGTAATAAGCCGCCGCAGACTGCCGCCGGCGAAGCGGCGTGAGCGCAGCGCGGGAAGGGGGGGGGGGGGGGGGGGGGGGGGTGGCACTTATCACGCGTTCCCATTATTCACCAAAACGTCTATTCGCTCAAATGGCGCTCTTCGCTAAAACGTCATTCGCTCATGCCTGCCACACACGTCACGACACTGAAAAGTACGGGCATATTTTAATGTTGGTTTTTGCATCATTTCATTTGTCGATTTCAAAATAACTATGAATTTCGCGATACTAAATAGCATACCATAAAGGGTACATGCCGGGGATTCAGAAAATATAGTTAGTTGGGGTGGCTAAAAAAATCGGCCGAGTACGCCTTTAAGGCGTACGTGTACGTGTGCTTTATTATTTCTTTTTTTTTTCTACAAGAACAAGTCTCTTATAATATTGCAATCAATATTCACTTCAATTCACCCGCTCGTCAATCAATGGGCAAATTTCGCTTCACAAACCCGAGTATCAGGAATGCACCGGAGTATTGATTCTTTGTGATGTTCATTAGGAAAATGTAATGAGGTCGTACGACCCTTGGATTTTCCCATGAGAGCGCTGGAAAGTTAATAAAATCCAGCAATATGAAATATGACAATTTTTACTGTTTTGAGCGCATTTTGAGGCAATTTTGAAATTATAATAACTTAAAAAATAAAAGTGACGAAACGAATGTTAGTACGTACTAGAGGTGTTTCCTATCTCAATTTTAAGACCCTCACGGGAAGATTAAATGTCTTTGTATTGGCGTATTTCTGTAAATGAATTTGACAGGGCAGTTTTCGCGAGATTTATTTTTAATGGGTTCAACGAGATGGCTACCCCAGCATCAAATGCCCCAAGTCATAGAATTTGTTGTTGTAGCTGTTTTCACGAGCTTGTACGGACGGTGTAAGGGTTCTGGGGAAGATGGGCGGTTTCTCGATCGACCGGTTAACGGTCGTCTTGTCTGGCGGCGTGTATGCTGCTCCTTTCCGGTCGTTTTGCGTGGTTTTGTTTATCTAACGAGGAACCGCGTGCACCTTTCCGCTGACGCGTCCCCCTTGGAAAGCGTCTCCCTGTGTCTCCCCCATCGAGAGAACCTCTCGGAAAGGGATGTTGTTTTTTTTTTGTTTTTTTTTTAATCTGGAGGCTTGCGTATTTTACGGGGCGGGGCTTCTTGGCTTTCAACGGGGGGGGGGGGGGGGGGGGGGGGCGGGGGGGGGGGTTTCCGGGGAGGCGCCGCTGTGTCTGCAGTGGGATGCATGGACGAAGTTACGGAGCTGTCGGCTGTAGTCCGTTGGCAAGTTAACGAATGGGTGTCGACGCCTTTGCCAACTATTGGACGGTGGACATCACGTGGCTCCAGCAAAACTTTGAAATGATTGGTTGATCCTCGCCCGAGAGTGAGGAGGTCAGCGCCTTCAAAAGCCCGTGACTGGGGAGAGAGAGGGACTTTTTGGCTTGAGCTTCGACAAATTTGGAAGACGGCGAATTTCCTTTGCTTTGTATTTACTGTGTACAACAGCTCGTAACGTCTAAAATTTAGACGTTACGAGCTATTGTAAATAAACGGTTTAGAGGAAGTCCTCCCGCATCCGTCGCACGTCCTCCTGATCAGCCACCGAACGAGGCTCATCAAACGATTGGCCCCGCAAGACACCGCTGGGAAGTCATCATCCATTCACCCAAAGGACCTTTACTGGCGGCGACTCGCGACACGAGTCCTTTTGTTTTGCACCGCCGAGATCAGATTTGCCGTTTCGCAGGAAGATGGTCTGTGTGAGATTTCTGTCTGCTGCACCACACAAAAAATAGGACCAATGAGAGGTGGCGCATGTATGACGTAGTGATGCCATATTGTAGAGTGACCGCTTTCGACGCCACGACTTATGCAGCCAATCCAGCGGTAAGAACGTGCCACGTAACCTCGCGCTCCGCGAGTCCCTAGGTCAATCCGAAGAGTCACACGCCCTCAGTAAAGCCCTTTGATATGTTTGTTTGTCTCGAACGTGGCATCAAATCAAATACGCCAATTAATTCGCAACTTTCAGCGATGGTGGTACCGCGGTGTGAGCATCGCGCTGCCTAGCTCCTGGATGATCGGCTTTACAGTAAAGGTGCTTGCCTACACCTTCCTGACGTGAAAAAAATAAAGTAAGGCTCTAATATTGCTCGTATTGAGCAAAACTATAATTACTTACGCGTCGCAGACCCCGCCTCGTACTGCAGTTTTACGACGATCATCCAGATGACAGCCATTTTGATAGGCGCCAGCGCGCCCCCTATAGGTCGTGAAAGTTGCGAATTCACAAGCCCGTTCGTTGTGCGGCACTTCGACGCAAATGGCGGCGCAGCGCTAAAATGAGCTTTGAGCTCCTAAACAGATGTTCCGCCTCATCATTCGCTGAGCAGATTTCATAGATCGCAGAGATTGGCTCTTCGAGTATTTTCCGGGTAAGTAAACGCGCAGGCATTTCTTAGAGTGAGCCATCCAAACCAATAGTCGAGATGCAGGCACCAAAGGAACTTATGTTGCATGAACCAAGACGGGCGTTAATAGTGATCCCTTAACAACCGTGAATGTGGTAATCGTACTCAGCTCTGACTCTACGGCGTCGCGTAGCTCGAAAAGCAAGGAGTCATAGGTTCGGCCGAGGTGGCACTATACACGGCTTGCACGTAGCGTCGCTTCACCATGCCGGTGGTCATTCCTACTCGTTCTTGCCAAGAAAAAAAAAAATGCGAGGGTACAAAATTTGTGCTGCAAAAGGCTACCTGCTCAGTAACAATCAGGGTGTCGAACCGGAACCGAACCGAACCGAAAACCAGAACAGAACCGTTATTTTTAGTCGAACCGGAACTAAACCGAACCGAAATCTTCGCCGCCATCTTGGAACTGAACCGGAACCGAACAAAAAAAAAATATAACGGTAACCGGTTCAAAACGGTTCAAGGGAATATTTCTTTTTCTTCTTTTTTGTTAGTATCACAAAATGAACATATGGGAATGAAAAATTGGCGGCTGTATTTCTATCTATGGATCAAATCGTCATATACAGAATTGAAAAGTATGGTAAGTTGTGGGTTTTCATGGCACTATGATTAACCATGTGTCGCGTTGTCACGTGACGCCATGATGTCAATACATGTTGTCACGTGACCTCGTGACGTCACGTGAATCACCGCGTCAACTCGATTTAATTTGAGGAACTCACTAGATGTATTAACATTGTTGACAGCATGACGTAACATGACATCACGATTTCGCACCGAGAGTCACGTGACACCGTGACGTAAGCGATTTTCATAACCCCTAATCGAGAGCTCGGGTTCATGACAATCAGCACCGCCGAACATTCGGGTAAGGGCTCATGTCAATTACATATAATAATAGCCCAACTCTAACAATATATGAAGCTCAGCCCAAGCTTTTGCTTTCAAAACCCTAGCCGCCTAGAGCATGACTGTGATGAACACTGGCGGTATCAGATCACGTGGCCACTTGTTTAAATTGCGAGTTGAGGAGGTATCGACAGCTGTATCTTTCCTTTATTTTTTCTGCATCTGCTATTAGGGGAAAACTAATGGATGTTTCCGCAAGCTATCAACATTAGGGGTTATTTCTTAACACTATTTAATGAAAGTACAAGAAAAAATGTTGCAAGACCCATTTTACATTATTGAGGCACCGAAATATTTTTTCGTTGTTGCTGAACTGCATTCAAAAGATGTACCTAAAAATAGAAGTACTAAAATTACTAAATGCGACTTATTAATATGGCGTTACATAGAACTATACGTGTGTACGGAAGGAATACTAAAAAAAAAAAGGATATTTTAGTGATTTCAGAG